TCAGGTACAGCTTAGCCGCCATTTTGTACTTTATATTAGTACTTCACTTTATTTATATCCTCACATTTGTACTTACGAGAAAAGTTTACGGTAGGAATGTTAGAGAATCCATCTTTGTCGTGTAACTTAAAGTAGGTTAGGTTATGTTTTGGTTAGTTTAGGTTAGGTCAATCGGTAGAATTTAATTATTTTTTGTTAATATTTTAGTATATACCAGAGAGAACGTCGAACCCGTGTACCAGAGTTCTCATGTTGACGGTGACGTGTTTGTGCCAGTGAGGAAACATTTTTTTTTTGCCTGTTAATAAAATACGTTTAATTTTTTTTTTTTTAGATATGATTAAATATAAAAATTTTTGTCAGTGATTTGTTGATATAATTATAATGTATATTTAGATTAGTGATTTTAGATTGGAGTGAACAAGGGTAAACAACAAGAGTAAACAACAAGAGTAAACAACAAGGGTAAACAAAAAATAAGGGTAAACAACAAGAGTAAAACAACAAGAGTAAAACATCAAGGGTGGGTAAACAACAAGAGTAAACAAATAAGGGTAAAATGCAACAAGAGTAAACAATTAAGGTAAACAACAAGAGTAAACAACAAGAGTAAACAACAAGGGTAAACAAAAAATAAGGGTAAACAACAAGAGTAAACAAAAAATAAGGGTAAGCAACAAGAGTAAACAAAAAATAAGGGTAAGCAACAAGAGTAAACAAAAAATAAGGGTAAACAAGTAAAACACCAAGAGTAAACAACAAGAGTAAATATCAATGATAAACACGGGTAAATAACAAGGGTAAACAACAAGGGTAAACAATAACAGTGATAAACAAGGGTAAACAACAAGGATAAACAAGAATAAATAACAACAATGATAAACAAAAGTAAACAGCAAGGGTAAACAACAAGGGTAAACAAAACATGGAAAAGCAAGGGTAATCAACAACAATGATAAACAAGGGTAAACAATAAACGTAAATAACAATGATAAACAAGGATAAACAACAATGGTAACAAGAGTAAATAGCAACGGGTAAACAACGGTAAGCAACAAAGTAAACAACAACGATGATAAGCAAGGTTAAACAATAAGAGTAAACACCAAAACAACAAGAGTAAAAAACTGGATAAACAACAACAAGAGTAAAAAAAACAATGATAAACAAACAAAGATAAACAATAAGAGTAAACAACAAGGGTAAACAACTTATCCCTCAAACGAAGTGCGTCCATCAGTCAGGTCAGAAAGATATATATTGGGTTACCGTTAGTCTTTCATGATAAAACACACACACACACACACACACACATGTACAAATCGGTTATATACGTACACAAACACTGACATACAATAAAGCAGGTTGCTTGAGGGTAATTAATTAATATTTTACACCTGTGTATCTTCTTACGACATATTTTGCCAGTTTAAAATTTCGTGGAATAGTTCGTCTCTTATTAATACTTATAGGGTATTGGCGAGTAGGGTTAAAACCGAGATAAGGAAAGCAAAGAGGAATAATGAGGTAAGGATAGCAAGGGAGGCGAAGACAAACCCCAAAGGATTCTACCAAATGTATCAAACTAAAACACGAGAAAAGATTGGACCAATACGGTCAGACTCCGGCGAGCTCACTGATAACGACGGAGAAATGAGCAATAATTTGAATAAATATTTTTCAACAGTTTTCACCACCGAAAATTTAAACATGATACCCGAGGCACCGACTCTGTTCAGAGATAGTGAAGAAAACAAATTAAGTGAGATACTAGTGACTAGTAACGATGTTAGTAAGCAAATAGACAAATTAAAGCCTAATAAGTCACCTGGTCCCGATGAGATATTTGCCAGAGTATTAAAGGAATGTAAGGAAGAGCTTAGTATGCCCTTAGCAAAGTTGTTTAACATGTCCTTAAAAACAGGTGTAGTACCAGAATCCTGGAGGATAGCGAATGTAATACCGATTTTCAAGAAGGGGATAGATCACTATCCTCTACTACCGCCCAATCAGTCTAACATCAATAGTAGGCAAATTACTGGAAGCAATCATTTCAAACTCTATTCGAAATCACCTGGAGAAGCACAGATTGATCAATGATTCCTAACTAATCTATTAACATTCTTTTCATCAGTTTTCGAATAGGTGGACGAGGGGCACAATTATGATGTGGTATATCTCGACTTTATAAAGCCTTCGACAGAGTCCCCACGAAAGACTAATTAGAAAGGTAGAAGCTCATGGCATCAAAGGTGACATCCTTAAATGGATTAGGGCGTGGTTACAGGACAGGAAACAGCGAGTGAGCATTAACGGCACTAAGTCCCATTGGAGCAACCTCACAAGTGGAGTTCCCCAAGGCTCAGTACTTGGACCATTATTGTTTATTATATACATAAACAACATAGATATCGGCATAGACAGCAACATAAGTAAATTTGCTGATGACACTAAAATAGGACGTGTTATCAAATCTGACGAGGACTCAGCAAAACTACAGGAAGATCTAAACAAATTTTTCGAATGGTCTGAAAAATGGCCGATGAAATTCAACGTCGACAAATGTAAAGTACTCAGTATAGGAGATGTAAACAGGGAAACCAGATACCAGATGAACAACGATGCCATAGAGAGATCCGACTGCGAGAGAGATTTAGGAGTGATGATAAGTAGGAACCTTAAGCCAAGTAAACAATGTGTTTTTGCTCGTAACAAGGCTAATAAAGTACTTGGGTTCATACAAAGGAGTGTCAGTTACAAGACTAGGGAGGTCATCCTAAAACTGTATCTTGCTCTTGTGAGACCACACCTGGATTACGCAGTTCAGTTCTGGTCACCGTATTACAGAATGGATATAGAATCCATGGAAAGAATTCAGAGGAGAATGACAAGACTAATCCCGGGCATTAGGAACCTTGAGTATAGAGACAGGTTAAAGCATCTTAATTTGCACTCCCTTGAGAGACGTAGAGCGAGGGGCGACCTGATAGAGGTGTATAAGTGGAAGGCAGGGCTAAACAAAGGGGACATTACAAAGGTACTCAAATTATCCAACCAGGAGCGAACTCGTAACAATGGTTTTAAATTAGACAAATTTAGATTTAGGCGTGAAATAGGTAAACACTGGTTTGGAAACAGAGTAGTGGATGAATGGAACAAGTTACCAAATATCATCATTAACTCGAATACGCTGAATAGCTTCAAGCATAGGTTGGATGCTTATATGAGCAATAGGGGTTGGGTGTAAACGGGACTGCCCAGTATGGGCCAATAGGCCCCTCTGCAGTTTCCTCCATTCTTATGTTCTTATGTTCTTAATAAGTAAGGAAATATTATACATTCATGTTTTTGTGTTAAGTCTTTAATAAATAGCAACATAACCCCGTACAATGATAAAGTTGAATCATTAAGTATTTTTTATTAATTTTTATGTAATTCTATCGCTAAAATTTAAATCACATTTCACAGATAACCCAGGTGCTCACATTTCGACTCGTGTTGATGACGAACGTGATTGGGTGAGTTTGTACCTAAAACGGTGATTGGCTGATGTGGCTACGTTCTCCGCGGTAATTGGTTGATTGACTGATGACCGAGATTTAAATGCACCTTACACCTTTTTAAATCAGTCTCTCGTGTCACCTCATGAGACGTTGACGTGTTTTGTTGTTATAGTGATTTAAAGTGTTATATGAGTGTTTATATCGACTTATAAACATTCTACGGCGGCTATATATATTGACATATGTTTATTAGTGTGTATTAGTGTTTTAGTGATGAAGAAAAGCGTCGGATTTGGCCTCGGAAATGACATCTTCAAAGGACAGGTAAATTCTCGAGTTGATGACCGTTACCTGCCGTTGTACCTGCCCTCTCCGTCCTCCTCTCCTCTTCATCTTCCCTCTTCCTCTCCTCTCTCTTCTTCCTTTCCCTTCTCCTCCCCTCTTCCTCTCCTCCTCTTCATCCTCTCATCCCTCCCCACACACGCACACACACACATCTAGGACCGCGGGGACAAATTCATTTAAATGATATCCTTTTAAATGAGGCAATTTTAAACAATTATTCTCTTAAGGTTAATAAATACGACGATATATTATTATTATTATTATTATTATTATTATTATTATTATTATTATTATTATTGTCATTATTATTATTATTATTATTATTATTATTGCTATTATTATTATTATTATTATTATTATTATTATTATTATTATTATTATTATTATTATTATTGTGAGACAGGGAGATACTAAGTTACAACCATGAAGTTATTAATGTTTTAAATATTTAGTTAGGCAGATAATCACCCTCTCTCACCTGATTACACCTGTATGGATCTGTTTATAAATTTCCCCAATTACGTACAGTTGATAGGATGGTGAATTGTAAGGGAGGCGTAAGGAACTCGTTTGTACTAGACTAAATGATATTCTCCCTTTCTCCCTCTGTCTGTGTCTGTCTGTCTGTCTGTTTCTCTCTCTCTCTTTCTCTCAGCGTAGTCAACCAGGTAATGACCAATTGGCAAAGACAGCAATCACAAAAACAAGCAGGCCTCTGAACCACCACAAGCATTCCTCCTCTGTACCGGCTTGAACACTACTACCTCTGTTTACTGTCTCACGTATCGCCGTCGTACATGAATGGTACAAGTATCGTATGACTTTGTGGTGGTCAAAGGTCGTCTGGATTTACGCCTCATTATTTCTTAAAAGGAGTGAGGCGGCGACGGCTGAGTGAATACAGGTCGTGTTATATCCTTCGGGTCGTTGGTTCACTGCCGGTTTATTCTCAGTTCGCCCAGCTGTTGAGAGAAGGAGAAGGAGGGAGGTTGAGAGAAAGAGAGAGAGAAGTAGGGAGATTGAGAGAGAGACAGACATATCTCAAACTTGTATATTATGTCGATGTGTGTATATTTACGTACCTGTGTCTGTCTCATCGTGTCTCCCAGAAGCGTCAGTAAGTGTTAATCTCACCTGTGTCTCATTTTCCAGGTAAGGTGATGGATATGGCCAGGTGTGATGCTCGTGATTGAACAGGTAAATGATGTAAAAATCTGTTTATTTTTTTTTTTTTTTACAGACAGACATATGCACTCACATATACCCGCACATTCCTGCTCACATACACAATTATTGGGACGCACACACAAAAGACACTCACACACACACATATACATAAAATTTTGTACTTACACATCATGCAAACACTTACATGAAACATCTATATATTTATGTGTTCGAAAATGTACACATACTTTCACATAAATAAATACGTACACAGACATAGAGGTATGAACACATTCTCTCACGTACACACAACTACACCGGTATATATATGTACACACAAGCTCAGTTGTAGACGTAATACTCACACACACACACACACACACACACACACATATCGTCATGGTTAAAGAGATAATCACCTTATTTCTTCATACATAGTTAATGAGATTTTTTACGAATATGTCTATTTTTATGTATTATGTATGTGATATTCTTACATATGTATTGAGTGTATACAGCGTAATTTATGTATAATATTTTGGGTCATTATTTTGCCATGAATATTTATGAATCGAAAAATTATGATCACCTGAATATTAGACACCCCAGCTTATATCACCTGAAGATTACACACCCTAACGCTACCTAGGGATGGTGTTAGGTTAGGTTAGTGTTAGAGGTGTCTAATTTTCGCGCTGTGACTACTGTTGTTTACCGACCAGCTTCACTCGGACAAACAAACACCACCCTAGCAACCAATCTGATTGTTTGAACTATCACGGTTGCTAGGGACTGACAGAAATGGGAGGAGCTTATTCGTTAGGTCAGTAGGATACATACATAAATACATATATACATACATACATACATGCATGCATACATACATACATTCATGCATACATACATACATTCATACATACATACATACATACGCGCGTTATTTAATACACAATTGTAATGGTCATTCGTTGCATGAAATTTCACTTTGTATTTAAAATCTGAAATCGCTGAACCATTCCGGATTTATTGGCTCAATAATTGTAAAATTTAATATCCGTTTAATGAATAACTATATTCAGTTTGCATAATTTTACATATTTTTGGATCACATGAAGATTAGGCACCCCTGCTTATTTCACCTTAAGACACCCGGACGCTAATCGACATAACATCGACAAAAACTCATAAAAAATATAGTAGATATACAAACACACAGACAGAGTAGACAAAGAGTTGGAATACAAAACAAACAAACACGTTACTACTCGTTTTAGGTGGAATACAAAACAAACAAATACATTACTACTCGTTTTAGGTGGAATACAAAACAAACAAATACATTACTACTCGTTTTAGGTGGAATACAAAACAAACAAATACATTACTACTCGTTTTAGGTGGAATACAAAACAAACAAACACATTACTACTATTTTTAGTTGGAATACAAAACAAACAAACACATTACTACCCGTTCTAGGTGGAATACAAAACAAACAAACACGTTACTACTCGTTTTAGTTGGAATACAAAACAAACAAACACATAACTACCCGTTCTAGGTGGAATACAAAACAAACAAACACGTTACTACTCGTTTTAGTTGGAATACAAAACAAACAAACACAATACTACTCGTTTTAGTTGGAATACAAAACAAACAAACACAATACTACTCGTTTTAGGTGGAATACAAAACAAACAAACACAATACTACTCGTTTTAGGTGGAATACAAAACAAACAAACACGTTAATACTCGTTTTAGTTGGAATACAAAACAAACAAACACATTACTACTCGTTTTAGGTGGAATACAAAACAAACAAACACATTACTACTCGTTTTAGGTGGAATACAAAACAAACAAATACATTACTACTCGTTTTAGGTGGAATACAAAACAAACAAACACATTACTACTCGTTTTAGTTGGAATACAAAACAAACAAACACATTACTACTCGTTTTAGTTGGAATACAAAACAAACAAACACGTTACTACTCGTTTTAGTTGGAATACAAAACAAACAAACACATTACTACTCGTTTTAGGTGGAATACAAAACAAACAAACACAATACTACTCGTTTTAGTTGTAACATTTATTCAGATGTGTTTTAAATGCCCCTGGATGTCAAACGAGCGCATATCGACACAATTGTTAAATCACTGAATGCCAAACAAACAGACTGACATATTTGTTAAATCACCGAATTAATTATTTAGCGCCATTGCTGACGTGGTGACAAGTGGGTGATTTTTTTTTTATTTTAGTCTTTTCGCATTTTAGTTAATGCTATTGTTTCATTAGCTCAGGCCCCGCCTCCCTCGATCTGACTGATAAATACTTGTGGTTTTTTTTTTTGCACGTGAGGGATTTTGTTGTTTGGTACTTGTGTATTGATAAAAAATAAACCTTTCCCGACTTCACTGATGGATGTTTAACAAGTCAGGGATTTTTTTTTTTTTGAGATTTGTATTGAGTTAATAATTTATTCTTGGGGTCTGTTTCAAATATGTCGTCGATCTTTCTGATATGACTGATATATTTGTGTACCAGTTATATGCAGGAAGTACCAGGTGTATATAAGAAGTACCAGGTATATGCAGGAAGTACCAGGTGTATATAAGAAATACCAGGTATATGCAGGAAGTACCAGGTGTATATAAGAAATACCAGGTATATGCAGGAAGTACCAGGTGTATATAAAAAATACCAGGTATATGCAGGAAGTACCAGGCGTTTACCCTAGAGACCTAACTAGTCAAAGTGGCGCCAGTAGCCAATCATCACTAATGTCTTTGAGCATGAAAGGGCCTCCTAATTGGCCACGTAACACACTAACAACTGTTTATGTTGTTGAGGAGCCATCAATCACCAGATGCTCTTAATCGTTCAGTAAATACTAACACGTTCACATATCGTTCAATTATATCACTTAAATGCTCATAATATGCTCACTGAATGTCCCTATGTGTTCAGTCAATGCTCATATAAATAATAAGCATTCGTACATATCGTTTAATTATTACTTAAATGATCATACTATGCTCACTGAATGTTATATAGATGATAAACATTCGTACACGCTCATTAAATGCTCAGTTATCATTCATATGTCCACTAAACGTTCCCATTCGTTCAATAAATGCTAATGCTGTTAAGTGATGGCTTCATAAACCCCTCACAAACGTTCAAACATTCACCAAACATTTCCCAATCGTTCAAACATTCACCAAGCATTTCTCAAACGTTCAAACATTCACCAAACATTTCCCAAACGTTCAAACATTCACCAAACATTTCCCAAACGTTCAAACATTCACCAAACATTTCCCAAACGTCCAAACACTCACCAAACATTTCACAAACGTTCAAACATTCACCAAACATTTCCGAAACGTTCAAACACTAACCAAACTGCTAATTACAGGTCGATCATTGAACGTTGTAAAGTTTATTTCAAAGCTCAATAAATACAATAGACTCTCTCGGGCTGAATAAATCCTGAATTAAAATCTATTACTTTCACTCACTTACTTTAATCTTCACAGAAATATAGTTTAGAGTAAGTATGTTATGTTGACTCTCTCTCTCTCTCTCTCTCTCTCTCTCTCTCTCTCTCTCTCTCTCTCTCTCTCTTAAAGGGTACATAAGACAAAAAAATCTAACTCTTTTTCATTTCTTTACTGAGTTCTTTGTCGAGTTCATTCACCAGAAGTCAAGACATGAAGAGTTTTATACACACACACACACACGCACACACACACACACACACACGCACACACACACACACACACACACACACACACACACACACTTAATTGCTCCGAATACCTCTGATGACGTCATGTATGGATATATTTTTTTTCGTAATTTTTATATTATTATTTATTCTATGGCAAGTTCTTGATAAAATGCTAAATAGAAATTATTGACCTGGATTTGACCTTTAAAAATCAAGATGATTGTGTCATCGGCTCAGGTTAAAGGTCTTTACCTCAAACTTGCAGGTAACACGACACTCCCGGCCCCAGGTGTTGTTCTGGCCTGAAATTTTGAAGTTCTCACAAAAGGTCATTTTGGGGTGACTTGTTCTTCTGTTTGTTTGTTTGTTTAATTGTCTCCATATTCCTTATTTATTTCAATGTTGTTTATTTGGTTTGTTTCTTTTTATTAACCGAATAGTTTTTTTTTATTATTATTTATCACTAATAATTTTGACCATTAGTTATGTATTCATTAATGACTGTATTATTTAGTTCTTGAATTATATGTTTTATTATTATTATTATTATTATTATTATTATTATTATTATTATTATTATTATTATTATTATTATTATTATTATTATTATTATTATTATTATTATTATTAATCAATTCATAGGTTTAATTATATAATACATCCATCAATATTTTCTATCTATCAACAACATTTGGTCTTTACTAACACCAAAGCCTAGAGAGTCGAGGATAATTTGGAAGACAAAAAAACCCCACGTATTTCAACAAGTGTGATTATAATTTGTTTCGGCGTCTCTGTCTGTCTGTCTGTCTGTCTGTCTGTCCGGTTATATACACCCACAGATACCTTAACTTTGGCATTACCGTCATGAACTTGGTATGGTAGGTAGTGGTGACCCTGGTATATGACTATTAAAGGGATGACAGGCAGTCGAGTGTCAAGATATGGGTTGTGTTAAAATGACTCATACGTCCGCCAGAACTGAGTAGTAGAAATTATCGTATATTATCACCAGTTATCATGTTGGTGTCTCTTTAGTTATTTTGTGTTATCGTAAGATGGGATGTTATCTTCAAACAACATTTTCTGATCATCTGATGGTATTAAACATCATTTTCCAACATCTGACGTCATATTGCAACATCTATCATTATCTTACAACAGCATCTGACGTCATCTTGCAACATCTGACGTCATATTACAATATGAGATATCGCACCTTGCAACAACATATAACACTATCTTGTAACATCTGAACCTCACCATGCAACATCTTGGAG